GACTAAACAACAACAAGACATGGAACAACAACAACAAAATAAATGTTGGCCTGAAAACTCACTGTGGGTGGTCATAATCTGATTTTACTAATGGTCTTATTTTACAAACTATTTCTCAAACTTCGATTTTGGAGTTTTTCCCTCAAATCTAGATGCAATAGTGGAAAATATGCCTTTCTTGTGAGGGTGCATTTGCTTTTGAGAAGCAGCCAGGAGGTATTTGGAACCAAGCTTGGTTGGGGAGTCTGGGGATACCACTGCTGGTGACTCCTGCTGCCTTTAAAGCTGGTGATTTCCAGATGGATTTAATGAAGAAAGTGAGGGGGTGAGCTGTGCTGATACCTGAAGGAAGAAAGTTCATTCTGAGCAGAGGGAAAAGCAAAGGAGAAAGCCTTGCGGTAGGTGTGAGGGGTTGTGTTTGAGGAAGAGGAAGAGGCTTGTGGAAGAGGGGCAGGGCTCATCGAGGGGGCGGTTCTGTAGCACCTCGACCAGTTCTGGCTCTTACTCTGAGCGAGAAACGAAAGTGTTAAAGGCTTTCGGCCAGAGATGCGCATGTGAACCGACTTAGGTTTAAAAAGATCATGTTGGTTGTTAACTGAGAAGAGAATGAAGGGACTGAACCGTTCCCACCCCACAAGCTGCTGGCTAATACGTTGGGTTCCCAGGGAAACTCTCATTTTGGACCCACCCAGACCCAAACAGGAAGCCCAGCATTGGGCTGTCTGTTTGCTTTGGACAAAACCATGCCTCACACCCAGTGACCTTCCTGAACCCCATCCTTCAAAACACTCAGGAGAAAGTCACGCTGCGCCAATCCTGCTGTTGTTTTAGAATTGCCAAGTATGGATAAGAAAGAGTAAGCTTTAATTCATGCAAACATTTGGAGATTTATGTCCAGATTTTCTAGTTACAGTTTGCTGAAATGTTTTTGTTATATGTGGGAGTAAAAATCTCTGGGGATGAACCAGAAATATCTGGGCTTTACTTGTAGGGCTCTGGGACTACCTGGGTCTAACGGAAACAAGGTATTGCAACTGGTAAGTCTTATACCAGCAGGGGCCACAGGGACTGAGACACGCAGCTGTTCTTGAAGTTTTTAAAATCCCTGACAATGCTTGATATGCCTTTGATTATATTTTCTGACATCTTCTTCTGGATTTAGCAAAATTGGGCCATGACATCACTGAGAAAGTACTATAGCAGGAGATCTTTAATACATTGCAATTCAACTCTGAAGTTGCCTTTAAAAGGTTATAAGAAGAATTGAAGCAAAATATTGAAACCTTGTACCTATCTGGATTGTCTTTTTTCCTTGTTACTGTCTTGATTATTAATCAAGTCTGTTGAGATAGCAAGTGCTCTGGGTCTGAGATTTTTTTGGTACTCTTTTGGAGGGAGATTTTGCTTTTTTTTTTTTTTAAATCTTTTCACTTAGTATTACTAACTCAGTCCTCAAGTGATGGGTGTGCTGCTGCCATTCCTGTATCTGACCAAAGAAGAAATTTGAGATTATCCTGGTTTCTTCCTCTGTCTTATTTTCCATATACTCAGCAACCAAGACTTGTTGATTATACCTCCTAAATATCTTTATAACCAACTTCCTTTTCTTCATTCCATCTGCCTTTTCCCCAACTCAAGCACATATTATCTCCTTCCTAGACTATTATAAGAATTTTTATTGTCACATTGCTTCTAGTCTTGAGTCAGAATTCCATCTCTGCCACTTATAACATTCTCTAAAGTTCTCTGTCCTCTTCACACCCTTTTCCTTTTTCTCTTCCATAGACCTTCCCTGGGAGGTCACATCCACTCCTATGGTTTTGATTAATGTAATATGCTCCAGATGTACTAAAGATGCTACAGCATCCATCTCAGACTTTTCTCTGGAGGTCTAGACCTCTATACCTGGCTGTCGATTCTTTCAATTCAGCTTGTTTCAAAGTGAATTGATCACGTTCCCCTCCAACTCCATCTTCCTTCTCTATTCCCCATCTCAATGTGATACCGCCTTCTTTGTATCCAGTTGCCCACTTGTAGCCCAAGTGTGGGCTTTGATTTGTACATCTCTGTAATTCCCCAAGTCAAATCAATCATCCCTAACTCTACCTCTTTTTTTTAAAAAATTGAAGTATAGTTGATTTACAATGTTGTGTTAGTTTCAGTTTTATAGCAAAGTGATCTAGTTATACAGAATAGATATAGATCTCTCTCTAATTAGATAAATAATCTTTTTCAGATTTTTTCCATTATAGATTATTACAAGATGTTGACTATATTAATACTTCCCCGTGCTATGGAGTAGGTCCTTGTCATTTATCTAGTTTATATACAATAGTGTATATCTGATAATCCCAAACTCCTCTGTTATCCCTCCACTCTCCATTTCCCCTTTGGTAACCATAAATTTGTCTTTTATGTCTGTGAGTCTATTTCTGTTTGTAAATAACTTCATTTGTATCATTTGTTTAGATTCTACATATAAGTCATATTATGATATTTGTCTGTCCAACTTACTTCACTTACTAAGATAGATTTTAGGTCCATCCATGCTACTGCAAATGGAAATGATTTCATTCTTTTCTCTGGTGGGGTAGTCCTAATTCCAACCCTTAAGCATCTCTTGGCCTGTCTCTCATCACCTACCACTAACCTGGGCCCAGCCCAAGGTATCATCTAGAATTTTTATCAACCTGGACTTCTGCCTCAGCCTCTTCATTGGTTTTTTTTTTTTTTTGGTCCCTGTGTTGTCCTCCTGCAATCCATTTTTTACATTGCAGTGAACATGATCTTTCTAATCCGCAAATCTGCATTCCTCTGCCTGAAATCCTTCAATGCCTTCCCATTGTTCTTATAACAAATGTCTATGGCTTATAAAAACCCCTTATAATAAGGTCTCTGCTTGCCTCTCAAGCAGTCTTTCTTCCCACGTAATCCCACTCTCACAACATTCTGATCATTAGAATTCCTCAGTTTCTTAAATGGTCAATGCTTTCTCTTATCTCTGGGCCACTTCACACCATATTTCCTTTCCTTGAAGACTCCTTCCAGCTCATCTTGCCGCATTCATTGCCTTATTACTTACTTTTCAGTCTTTAGATGTCAATTTAAGTTTCTCTTCCCCCAGCAGGCTTCGCTGAACACCAAGTCCAGGTTAAATGTTTCTATCCTTTGCCTCCTTGATGTCGTCTACTTCCCTCTATGGTACCTCTTATCAAATTCCACTGCAATTGCTTCTTTTGTGGTTAGCTCTCCAAAACCAATATCTGCCTTAGTTATTTCTATATTTCCAGACTGTTGTATAGTGCCTGGCAAAAAATACACACTCCAAATGAATCTGACTTGCTTGACACAAGCAGCCCTCTTAGAGTGTCTTCCTTTGTACCTTGCCCAGTAGGCAAAGACCTGCTCACCATTAAGTCCCAGCATAACGCCTTCCTAACTTCTTAAGAGAATCACAGGGCACAGATCCCTGTTTCCCATATCAACTTCCTTCCCCTCATCACTTTTTATCATTTGCTTTGCTCATGAGTCTTTTTTTCCATACCAGACTTCAAATTTTCTGCTGGAAGGACCTATATTTTCTTCTCTATTAGTCCCCATTACTTGGTATAGGGGCTTCCCAGTTGGCATTAGTGGTAAAGAATTCACCTGCCAATGCAGGAGACATGAGATGTGGGTTTGATTCCTGGGTCAGGAAGATCCCCTGGAGGAAGACATGGTAACCCACTCAAGTATTCTTGCCTGAAGAACCCCATGGACAGAGGGGATTGGCCAGAAACAGTCCATGGGGTTGCAGAGTCTGACATGACTGAAGCGACATAGTACGCATGCTCTTGGTATAGAACATATGACTTAATACTTGCTAAAGGTAAGAGAGACTTCAACAGTCAAACTGGGTCTGATTTCCCCCTGAAATATGCTTAACTTAATTCCAATTTGGTAATTTCAAAATAAGTGTTCTACATGACCTGTTCATGGTCACGTTGCTATAATGAGTTTAGCTTACTATGGGTACTAGTCAGTAAGTTATAGGATTTGAGATTCTCCTATTACATGTGTTATTGATGCTTTACTTAGATGTGTTCAAGGCTCCGTCATGTGGAATAATCTGCAGCCACAATTGTATATTTTAAAGCAAGTTTTAGGAAAAAGAGATTCATGGCATCGTATATCATTTGAACCAATTTTGGAAAACATGGTAAAAGGACACAGGCTCTTCACAGATTCCTGTATATTTTCCAAGTTGTCCTGTTAGCTCTATGTGAAAAGGAGATGATGCAGACATTTAAACATTCACTATTGAAAATATCCAGATCAGTGGGTCTACACCGAGGGTGATATTCCACTTTGTAAGACATTTGGCAATGTCTGGAGACATTTTTGATTGTCACAAGTACGTGGGAGAGTTCTAGTTGCATCTTGTGGGTCAAGGTCAGGGATGCTGTTAAAAATCCTGCAACGCCTCCCACATCAAAGAATAATCCAGTTTGAGATGTCAATAGTTCCAAAGTTGAGAAACTCTGACCTAGGTGAAATAAAAGTCTCACCTGTCACTCAAGCACACTTTCCTATTCCAGGATAGACTATAAATAATACTCAGCTTACAACTAGAAGACCAGAATACAGTCCCATTCATACTCTCACTTTCTTATTTTGACTTTTCACCTCTAATATGCTATTTTGACTTTTCACCTCTAATATGCTATTTTGATATGTATCTCATGGGATTGTTTTAAAAATTATATTTATGGTAATGTACATGGAAACCTTTGGCTTAGCCTGGCTACTAGTAATTGCTCAGTAAATATTGTAAAGAAAACCAGTCCAGGAATACATGGGTAACTCTGGGGGGTTTTACGGGGTGCAGGAGAATAGAATCTGCCTTGAGTAGTTGCTGAGCATATCACTCTTCTCAGGATCCGCACATGCATCACCACTTGTGAGAAGACTTCAGAGAAGAATTGGCATGGACAAAGACTCAGGGAGCTGCTCATGCGTACCTTTTGCTCTTCTCTCTCCACGGCTGCATTGCACTTTTCTATTCCTGAGTTCCTCAGAAAGTCCCTGAGATAGCCAAACAGCGTTCCAATTCCATATCCCAAGTAAGTGAAAACCATAACATGAAGAGGTGCTTCCTCAAAGGATTCCACAAATGGCTTGCAAAAATTTGAATTTCCATTTTGCTGAAAAGACAAATGGAAATGGAAAATTAGCACTCTTCCATTACAATGAACCATGGTACTGAAAATTTTGAACTTTCAATCTTTTACATGTCAAAGAGCACATTTAAGATTACGAAAATACTTGGAGAAAATTGGAAGTTGATCACCGAAGAAGGTAATCAGCAATGTACATTTTATTCCACAACTCTTAAAGAAATAATTGATTCAGGCAAAAATTATGAACAGATTCTAAATCCGTTAAATGAAAAATTAGTGAGGAATAGGGTTTTTGCAAGATACCAAAGTATCACCCTGTAAATTACTCCTTAATCACTAACCTGGGATTACAATCTTAATCAGGTAATCAAATTACATCAGAGATGTTAGGACAACTCACCATTCTATACTCTTATCATGATGTAATATTCAATATACTGATGACATATTTAAGCTGAATTTAGTGAAACTCTAATATCTAAATTCCATTTTACAAGAAATATCAGGTAAATAACTTCATGAGGAGACAATCAGATAATCCACAATGTGGGCCTTTCTATGTGACAACTGACTTGTGTTGTGTTTTGGTTTGGTTTTTTTTTCAATTTTCATTTGTTTATTTGCAGGATCTTTCACTGTGGTGCGCTTGAGGAGCTCAAGCTTAGTTGCTCCACAGCATGTGGGGTCTTAGTTCCCAGAACAGGGATCAAACCTGCATGCCCTGTATTGCAAGGCAGATTCTTATCCACTGGACCACCAGGGAAGTCCCATGACTTGGTTTTTAAAAGCAAAACATAAACAAGTGGGACTACATGAAACCAAAAATTTTTGTTCAGCAAAAGAAATGATCAACAAAATGAAAAGTCAACCTACAGAATGAGAGAAAATATTTGCAAACCACATAATATAAATAAATATTTGCAAATCACACCTGATAAGGGGTTAATAATAATAAGGCACTCATACAACTCAAACAATTCAGTTAAAAATGGGAAGAGGGCCTGAATAGATAAAGAAGACATCCAAATAGCTAACAGTTACATGAAGATGTGTTCGACATCATTAATCATCTGGGAATGCAAATCAAAGTCACAAAGAGATATCACCTGACATGTGCAGACATGGCTGTTATTACAAAATAAGAGAGAGAGAGGTAAAGTGTTGATAAGGATGTGGAGAAAAGGGAACTTTGTACACTGCTGGTGGGAATGTAAATTGGTATGATCATTATAGAAAACAGTGTGGGGATTCCTCCAAAAATTAAAAGAACTCCTATATGATCCAGCTATCCCACTTCTGGGTGTATATTCCCAGGAAGTGAAATCAGTATGTTGAAGAGATATTTGCATTTCCATGTTTATTGGAACATTATTCACAATAGCCAAGACATAGAAACAGTCTGTTGATCAAAGGATGAATGAATGAGGAAAATGTGGCTTGTGTATACACACACGGTAAATATCATTCAGCCATACACACAAGAAAATTCTGTCATTTGTGACAATGTGGATGAACCTAGATTACATTATACTGAGTGAAATAAGCCAGACTCAGAAAGACAAATGCTGCATGATCTCACTTACATGTGGAATCAAAAAAATTGACCTCACAGAAATAGAGAGTAAACTGGTGACTTCCAGACCATGGGTGGGAAAAATGGTGAGATGCTGGTCCAAAGGTACACGTCTTCAGTGATAGGATGAAGAAATTCTGGGGCCTAGTGTATAGCATGGTTCTACAGGTAGTGATATTGTATAGCATACTTGAGTTTGATAAGACAGTAGATCTAAAGTGTTCTCATCTCACACACACATACACTCACATGCATAGCTAGGTGAGATGATAGGTATGTTAATTAGCTTGATTGTGGTGATAATTTATTAATGTATACATATATCAAATAACATTGTATACCTCAAATACATACAATTATTATTTATTAACTACACCTCAGTCAAGCTGCGGAAAGAAGAATGAAGGGTGGGAGAGAGGACTTAAGAGACTGAAGTGTACTGTATGTTTTTCCACTAGATCCTCTTTTATTGTAAAAGAAAAATGGTAAAAGCACATATTTTTAAACAAATGTGGACAGGAAGTGTATATTTTTGGGGATTTGTTATTATTGTTAGGAGTGATGGTAGTTGTATAGTTGTGCAAGAGGATGTTTTAATCTTTGTTAATGCATGCTGAAGGCTTAAGGAGGGTGAAGTGTTATAACTGTTATCTTTCAAATGGTTCATCAAAAATTAAACACATACATAAAGCAATTTTGGGAGAATGTTGAATCTAGATGCATTAGAGGCTATACTGGGGATTGTTATATAATTTTTTCAATTTTCTGCATGCTTGAAATTTTTCTTAGTAAAAAGTTAACAAAAATATTTCTCCAGAGGGTCAGCAGTAAAAAATCTATCTGAAAAAAAAAAAAAAATCTATCTGAAACGCAGGAGCTGCAGGTTTGATCCTGGATTGTAGTAATCTTTCTTTTTTCTTTTTTGGTGTTGTCACTATTTTTTTTTTTTATTTATCTATTTTTCCATTTATTTTTGTTAGTTGGAGGCTAATTACTTTGCAATATTGTAGTGGTTTTTGCCATACATTGACATGAATCAGCCATGGATTTACATGTGTTCCCCATCCCGATCCCCGCTCCCACCTCCCTCCCCACCCCATCCCTTTGGGTCTCCCCAGTGCACCAGCCCCAAGCACTTGTCTCATGCATCCAACCTGGGCTGGTGATCTGTTTCACCCTTGATAATATACATGTTTCGATGCTGTTCTCTCAAAACATCCCACCCTCGCCTTCTCCCACAGAGTCCAAAAGTCTGTTCTGTACATCTGTGTCTCTTTTTCTGTTTTGCATATAGGGTTATCATTACCATCTTTCTAAATTCCATATATATGCATTAGTATACTGTATTGGTCTTTATCTTTCTGGCTTACTTCACTCTGTATGATGGGCTCCAGTTTCATCCATCTCATTAGAACTGATTCAAATGAATCCTTTTTAATGGCTGAGTAATATTCCATGGTGTATATGTACCACAGCTTCCTTCTCCATTCTCCTGCTGATGGGCATCTAGGTTGCTTCCATGTGCTGGCTAGTATAAACAGTGCTGCGATGAACATTGGGGTGCATGTGTCTCTTTCAGATCTGGTTTCTCGGTGTGTATGCCCAGGAGTGGGATTGCTGGGTCATATGGCAGTTTTATTTCCAGTTTTTTAAGGAATCTCCACACTGTTCTCCATAGCGGCTGTACTAGTTTGCATTCACACCAACAGTGTAAGAGGGTTCCCTTTTCTCCACACCCTCTCCAGCATTTATTGCTTGTAGACTTTTGGATAGCAGCCATCCTGACTGGCGTGTAATGATACCTCATTGTGGTTTTGATTTGCATTTCTCTGATAATGAGTGATGTTGAGCATCTTTTCATGTGTTTGTTGGCCATCTGTATGTCTTCTTTGGAGAAATGTCTGTTTAGATCTTTGGCCCATTTTTTGATTGGGTCATTTATTTTTCTGGAATTGAGCTGCAGGAGTTGCATTACAGGCTTACCTCAAGAAACAAGAAAAAAGTCAAATAAATAACCTAACTCTACACTTAAAACAACTAGAGAAGGAAGAAATGAAGAACCCCAGGGTTAGTAGAAGGAAAGAAATCTTAAAAATTAGGGCAGAAATAAATGCAAAAGAAACTAAAGAGACCATAGCAAAACATCAACAAAGCTAAAAGCTGGTTTTTTGAAAAAATAAACAAAACTGACAAACCGTTAGCAAGACTCGTTAAGAAACAAAGGGAGAAGAACCAAATTAACAAAATTAGAAATGAAAATGGAGAGATCACAACAGACAACACGACATACAAAGGATCATAAGACACTACTACCAGCAGCTCTATGCCAATAAAATGGACAACTTGGAAGAAATGGACAAATTCTTATAAAGGTATAACTTTCCAAAACTGAACCAGGAAGAAATAGAAGATCTTAACAGACCCATCACAAGCAAGGAAATTGAAACTGTAATCAGAAATCTTCCAGCAAACAAAAGCCCAGGACCAGATGGCTTCACAGCTGAATTCTACCAAAAATTTAGAGAAGAGCTAACACCTATCTTATTCAAACTCTTCCAGAAAATTGCAGAAGAAGGTAAACTTCCAAACTCATTCTATGAGGCCACCATCACCCTAGTTCCAAAACCAGACAAAGATGCCACAAAAAAAGAAAACTACAGGCCAATATCACTGATGAACATAGATGCAAAAATCCTTAACAAAATTCTAGCAAACAGAATCCAACAACATATTTAAAAAATCATACATAATGACCAAGTGGCTTTATCCCAGGAATGCAAGGATTCTTTAATATCCACAAATCAATCAATGTAATACACCACACTAACAAATTGAAAGATAAAAACCATATGATTATCTCAGTAGATGCAGAAAAAGCCTTTGACAAAATTCAACATCCATTTATGTTTAAAACTCTCCAGAAAGCAGGAATAGAAGGAACATACCTCAACATAATAAAAGCTATGTATGACAAACCCACAGCAAGCATTACCCTCAGTGGTGAAAAATTGAAAGCATTTCCCCTAAAATCAGGAACAAGACAAGGGAGCCCACTCTCACCACTACTATTCAACATAGTTTTGGAAGTTTTGGCCACAGCAATCAGAGCAGAGAAAGAAATAAAAGGAATCCAGATAGGAAAAGAAGACGTGAAACTCTCACTGTTTGCAGATGACATGATCCTCTACATAGAAAACCCTAAAGACTCTACCAGAAAATTGATCCTGGATTGGGAAGATACCCTGGAGAAGGAAATGGCAACCCACCCCAGTATTCTTGCCTGGGAAATCCCATGGACAGAGCAAACTTGCGGGCTACAGTCCATGGGGGTAACAAAAGAGTCAGACATGACTTAGTGACTAAACAACAAGCAGCAAATGTCAGTGGCAAGTAGACTTTTAAATATCAGTCCAGTTCAGTTCAGTTCAGTCGCTAAGTCACGTCTGACTCT